TGGGTTTAATTTAAAGCTTTCCTGGGAACAATTCCACATGACCCCAGATAACATGTTTAATATCTCACAGTTCAGGGGGCTCAAGTTTGGGCCTGGTGCAGTGGCTCACACCTGTAATCCGCTTGAGCTTACGAGTTCAAGACTAGCCTGAGCAAGAGCGAGACCCCATTTCTACTAAAAATACATAAACTAGCCAGGTATAGTAGTAGGCACCTATAGTCCCAGCTACTCAGGAGGCTGAGGCAAGAAGATCTCTTGTGGCCGAGTTTGAGGTTGCTGTGAGCTATGATGACACCATGGCACTCCACCCAGGGAGACACAATGAGAAAAATGAAGGGGGTTTCATATTCAGTTTTATGTTGAATAAAGTCTATGCCCCAGGACCACTGGCCTCTTCCTCAATGCTATCTCATCTTAGTTTCTGTTCTTTTTTTTTTTTTCTTTCTTTTCTTTCTTTTTTTGTAATAACATACACAATAGCCTTTGGGTTTTAAGATTTCTAAACTCACTATTTTCTTAATAGTAATTATTGTTTTTGTTTCACTCTATAACTTATTCAGTTTTATAAAAAAAATCAGGCATTGAATGGAAAATGGGACAAAGGCATAAAATAGCAATTTTTGCAAGAGGAAACAAAAAGAACATACCAACACATGGAACAAATAGACAGCTTTACTAGGGATTAAGTAAATACAAATAATTGTTCAATTAGTTATTTTTTTCTTTAATGACTCCCAGGGTTGGCGAGGTTGTGGTAAAATGATTCTCTGATGATAGTAGTGTGAATTGGGGCAACTTTTGCAAAGCATTCTAGCACACATATCAGGAGCCAGAAAAATGGTCATATCCAAATGGGTGTGGTGGCTCATGCCTGTAATCCCAGCACTTTGGAAGGCAGAGGTGGGAGAATTGCTTGAGGCCAGAAGTTGGAGACAAGCCTGGACAACATAGCAAGACTCATCCTACAAAAAGGAAAAATATTAGCCCAGTGTAGTAGAGTATGCCAGTAATCCCAGCTACTCTGCAGGCTGAGATAGGATTGCTCAAGCCCAGGAGTTTGAGGCTGCTGTGAGCTATGATGATGCCACAGTACTCTAGCCCAGGCAACAGAGTGACATCCTATCATAAAAAAAGAGGAGGAAGGAAGAAAGGAAGGAAGGGAGGGAGGGAGGGAGGGAAACATTGAATAGGGAAAAGTCCCCTGATTTCATTACTAAGCCTAGATTAGTGAAAATGTTCATTGCAGTATTGTCTATAATTTTTGTTTTTAAACAGTCTCACTCTGTCATCCCGGTGTCACAGAGTGAATTGTATGGTGTCATATCTCACAGCAACTTTAAACTCTTCTGCTCAAAAGATCTTCCTGCCTCAGCCTCCTGAGTTGCTGGGACTATAGGTGTCTGCCACAACACCCAGCTAATTTTTCTATTTTTAGTAGAGATGGAGTCTCACTCTTGCTCAGGCTGGTCTCCAACTCCTGAGCTCAGGCAATCCACCTGCCTGGACCTCCCAGAGTGCTAGGATTAAAGAGCTAGGAGTGCTAGCTCAGCCATGAGCCACTGCACCCAGCCTGTCTATAATGTTGCAAAAATTATATCATAAAAATAAAAGAAACACCTTAAACACCAAAGAACCAATTGGACAAATGCTGGTACATTGATTTAGCTTGCAGTACTGCATAACCATTTAAAATGATAATTAGCACCTCAGCCAGCAGTGTTATGGAAGTATTTATGCTGCAGCATGGGCTATTCGAAACTGGAACATAAAATGGCATGTTGTAATGTACCTGTGAGAATAAGTGCATCTGAACAAAACTGAAAGGGAGCACACAAGTTAAAAATACTCTTCTAGTTTAGGGGGTTTAGGGTAGGTCATTTGTTTTCCCTTTTCAATATTTTCTTTAATATTGGTGTTATATTGTCTTTATTGTTTAAAAGAATACGTTCAAACAAAATGGTAGAGTGAGTCAGAGCTCTGGATTGCAAGGTAAAAAGACCTGAGTTTTCCTTTTCTTCCCCCACTATAATATGGTATTTGTTTTTCTGAACCTCAGTTTCTCCATCTGCATGATGGGTTATTACTAGTTTCCTTTTCCCTAGATGGACCAAATGTTTATTTTATAAAGGTTTTAACTCACTGAACACAGGGGTTCATGTAAATTTGATCCTGAGAGAATGAAGGGTGAGAGGGAGAGGGAAAAAAATAAATAGGTACTGATTAAATTTAAAAAGAAAGATCATCTGCTTTAATGGGAAATGTATATGTACTGCACCCCTAGACAGAGCTTTAAGTGCACTCTGTGTTAGTTAGCAACTTCAATTTAAAGTATTGTGTGATCCTTTGGGCTTTGAAGATATGAAGCCTATATACATACACATGAGCTAAAATTACTGTGGAGTCACAAGGATGTGTGCACTCTGAATAATTAAATGCACTAAGCATCTCCAGCTGATGGATTGATGATGTGTAAGAGCAGTGCAAAAACCACGTGACAAGGGAGATTACAAGACATTTTGAAATGATAGTTTAATTTCCAAGCTTTTTTTTTTTTTTTTTTTTTTTGAACTTGTGCTTTCTCTTTTAGCCATTACGGGCAAGGAAAGGAGATTTGATTATCTTGTTTCCTGTGAAAGGTTATTTAGCTCCTCAATCCCATTAAGTCACTTTCTGCACTCCAGTGCACCAAGCCTTCACCAGGTTATCAGCCCAGGAAGAGTAAATGGAGACACTAGGATCAGATTTCCAAAGGAAGGAAAGTTAAAGCAAAGTTTGAAAGGGGTGACAGCCAACAGCCATGAGCTTAGGAACTCAATTAGACTGAAAAGACAACGATCTCATTATCTCGTTCCGAAATGATCTAAATACATAAGAATCTAAAAGTTTTAAATAAACTTGTCCTGCTGACTGTCTAGATGACTGAATTTCCCTTCTCAAAAAATTTTTAAACACCCACTTTCGTATTTATTTATTCTAAGCGCGAAGCAGCTGCGATAATTATGCTGTCAGATTCAGTAAGCTAATGAGGAGTCACCAGAGTGGAAGGTTTTCCGTTTGTGAGAATGCTGAAGGAGAGCCACTCTGCGGCTTTTTTCGTTCTTTCTTTTTCTTTCTTTCTTTCTTCTCCTCCTTTTTCTTTTTCTTTTTCTCTGAGTTGGGAAGGAGAGTCTGGCAGTCCACAACCAAATTGGAATCCTTTTGATTAGCTGGTTGCCTTCCCAGCATGTTCTGCCAGATAATATGTCTTTCTTTCTTTCTCTCCCTCCCTCCCTCCCTGCTTTTGAGGAGCTGCTGCTTTTGAGGGGCAAGGAAGCCTGGGGGAAGTCCCAGCTTTTCATGCTACTGTCCCCACGGCAAGAGGATCCTTCTCCTTGAGAGAAGTTCCCCCAAATGGTTTGGATTTGAGTGGATTTGAGAGTAATCTGTAAAGTGTACACACTGTCCATCTTGGCTGTTTAACTGTTGATAATCTGACAAGAGCTAAGAGAAAGTAGAATACAAGATTGCATGTCGTGATGTCCATGTAAAAATGCCTTAGGTGTATCAACAAATGATCTGATGGCTCCCCTTTCCAGCCTAGCCAATATGTAATTCTAAACCGCAAAAGTTGAAAGCACAGTTTACCCAGCATCTAAGGCAGAAGTCTAGGCCAAGCAAGGCAGAGCCAGCACTGAAGACTTATTTCTTCCCTTTGGGTGTGAGCTGCTTCCAGCAAACAGTATTATTAAGGCATTTTATGCTTTCGGTACAACCAAGGATGAAAGTTTTTCTCTTTGTTGAATTGTGGGATATTTTGAGCAACCTGGGTTTGTGCAGATTGTAAGTGTTAGAAAAGCAATGCCCAGGTGGAAGGATGCCCTGAGCAAGTTGTGGCTGTGCTTTGGTGACAACGGGGCTGCTCCCACCTCTTGATGCATTTCTTAGACATCCATGCTGAGACTTAGCAAAGATGTTTGAATATTTATTCAAAATATATTGTGTATCAGGAACTACACAGGGTGTTTTGCATATATTATCTTCTTTAAACTTACCATGGTCTGCCAGAAAGTTTTATTTCCCCCACTTTTCAGGTAAGTCCCTTAAAATGCTCACCTTTGGAGGCCTCGGCCATGGCTTTTGTGTAGTGAGCACTCAGCAACAGCAGGGACCTAGCAAACACAGGCCCAATGAAAATGCAAACTGCTGGTGTTCAAAACTAACCACATACATCATTTGGAGGTCAAAATAGCATGTAGATATGTTTCTAAATAGTTTTTTTTTTTAATTTACCAAAGTTTCACCTTGGAATCTATTTAAATAGATTGCCAATATACGTAGCCTGATTTGAAACTCACCAAAGCATAGTGAGCCCAGTGTGATGCTCATTGCCTGTCACAGTTGGGACTGAAGTCCAGCCTCCTTGGCATGGCCTTAACTCCCTTCACCATCTGGTTCCAAGCACTTTCCCAACTTTATCTTCTGGTTTGTCCTGCTCCAACCAGGCAAAATTACTTGCAGTTCTCTCAAACACTTCTCAGGGTCTTTACTCATGCTGATCCCTCAGCCAGGAGTATCCTCCCTGGAAGTCCCATCCTTCAAGGCTCAAAGGGCACCTGGCTGGGCTTTCCCTGCGCTCCATAGTAGACTTGGAGCGGGAGGGTATCCTAATCCTTTGTTTGCATCTCATTTCTGGCCCTGGTTTGTACGTGTATGTGTTTTCTTCTTATTTTTTTATTTTATCCCTTTTTTATGCCTACTTTACCATCTTTGACACCTAGCATGATGCCTTGCCCAATTCATTTGGCAAGTGTGTGTTTCATTGAATTCAACAGGAAGCGCTTGATAACTGTTAGCAGATTCAGGGAAGTGAGTCAACCATGACACAGTATAAATTATTGGTAAATACATCTAACTCATGTTTCTGTGTCTCTTGGAACACATATTACAACAGAGATTTAAAAAAATACGGTGCAAGAGTCTAGGGGATAATATGTTGATGCTTTCTCTCTTCTACCTTACAGAGGAGTCTTTGTTTACAGTTTCAGGAGTGAGGCTAAAGCCAGAAATGTGTGACCTTTTGGCCTCCTACCAGAAAGGTCACCACCCTGCCCGGTTTAGCAAATGCTGGTGAAAAGAAAGAGGAGGTCCCCAAGACCCCTCCAGGTAAGTAGTCCCGACAGTGAGGTTCCTTATGGACAGAACTGAAAAGCAATTTCTGCCAAGCGGACAGGACATTGTCCCTGGTTCAGAGCGCCTCTGTTCATACCTAGCTCTTCATCCCAACTCTAGGGACAGGTGGCCTCACCTATCCAGCCTCCGTTTCCAGAGTTGGCAAAGAGGACAATAATGTATATCCCCTGTTTCTCCCATTCTCACAGCAGTGGTTGGCCTCCTGACACAGAAATTACAGGTCACTGTGAGACCTTTAGCTGACACCAGTGGAATACAGGATTACAACTGACATGTTGTTTTCCCTTAACTAGGTAGTTCTGTCAACCGAGAGGACAATATCAGAAGTAAGGGGGACCAACCGTTCCGGTTTGGCTGAGACCAAATGATTTCCAGGGATGCACAATGTTCTGTATTAAAATTGGCACAGTTAGCAGCACCCATAGCTCAGTGGGTAGGGCGCCAGCCACATACACCATGGCTGGAGTGTTCACACCCAGCCGGGGCCAGCTGTAACAACAATGACAACTGCAACAAACAAAATAGCTGGGTGTTGTGGTGGCTGCCTGTAGTCCCAGCTACTTGGGAGGCTGAGGCAAGAGAATCACTTAAGCCTAAGAGTTTGAAGTTGCTATGAGCTGTGACACCACGGCCCTCTACCCAGGGTGACAGCTTGAGACTCTGTCTCAAAAAAAAAAAAAAAAATATATATATATATATATTTAAAATTGGCACAGTCCTGGGTAAAACAGGATGGTTGGTCACCTCAGTGGTTTAGATTGCTTTCCAAGGTAATCTTAAGGAGGAAACCTACTATGGAAGATTTTCCCAAAGGTATGGTACCCTTAGAGGGTTTCTTCAAGCAAGCACAGGAAACCAGGTGGGACAACTCCAAAAGCCACCATAGTATAGATAACACTAGATGTCTCAAGAGCACATCCCACAGTGGGCCTTCTCTGATGGGTAGAAATGACAGTAATCTAGACAAAGGTGGAACCCATGCACAGAGCCAGCCCACCTGCCCTTTAGGTGACCCTTAGTACCCCAAGCCATAAACATTATACTATGATCTGGCCGCCTAGCTGGCAACCACAGCTTGGCCAGCCTTCCTAACAGACCTTTTGGGGCCCAGATGGTAATCACTGGCATACTCCCTACACTCACTTCAAATGTCACTTACATGGCAGGATTCACTCTTTGCCCTTTCTCTTGGATCACTATCTTTGGCGCTCCCAATTAAAGGCATACATACATCAGGGATGTCTGCCTCCTGGCTCTCCTAAAATCACTGTCTCCTAAGACAATGATCTTGTCTTCAAAGAACAGGGAAGTTTAGAATTATAGCTGTTCCCCAGAGCATTTTATAAAATACCTCAGTTTGTATTTTGACAATATACATTTGGAATTACAATTGACAATACAATGATATGGTATTTCCCAAGCAAAATATTTTCTAGAGCAGGAAATGGATAAATTTTTACTGTGTAATTATGTCATTTAAAACCTACTAGTTACGAGAACAGGATGAACTTTAGTTGCATTCACCATGAAGTGAAGGGTTTGCCCTTCACAAAATTATCAAAGACACTCATGGAAATGGTCTCAGATGGTAGTGCTCCTTAAGTATTATCATTATTTCTATTGTTGCTGTGATTTTGCTTTATTCAGCAGCCAGAAGGTAGGGAGATAACCCTGCCTCTCTGATCTACAGTGACCTTCCACAAAGACTTGTTACCCATAGACATAAATTGGTCACAATAGAAAATCAGTTGAATGCAGCATGTCAAGCTTGGTGCCTATGCCAGTAATTGAAGAAGGGAGAAGGCAGATTTTGTCTCTGTTGGAGTAATCTCCTGATATCCCTAGGCCTTGGTACAAACGTAAGGAGATAAAGCCAGTAGGAGATGAACCACAAGAGGGAAAAGCTAGAGCAATTAAACTGTTTAATAAATGGCTTGGGATCAGCAAAATCTGAGAGTGCTGGAGTTAAAGAGACTAAAAGCCATAATCACATAGACTCTTGGGGCCTGTAAGTCTTTTCCACTGAATTGAATTTATGTTAAAATATTCACTCTTCAGGAGAGTCAAAATGTAAATTGAGGTATTAGAACTTGGTAACTGGCAGCAATGCCTCAAAATTAAGACTCTTAAAAGATACTCACAATGTCAGTTTCAGGCATAG